GTTCCGGGGAGTGTATTTTTGGCGTCGCTCTTTGGTGCGTTATTAACCTTAAACAGACGACATGTTCCCCTCAATTGCATGCGAGGCTGACGGAGGCCGCCGCAAAGCTTGGTATCCCGTAATTACCGTATCCGCGTACCTTACTGATGAATAAGCGGCTTGCTGCCGTTGGGTTCCGGCATTTTGGTCAGACTGAGCCACAAAGAAAAAGGGGATTTCCCCAGCGGAGACTTCTGACACGTTGTTGTTGTTGTTGTTGTTGTTGTTGCTGTTGTTGTTGCTGTTGTTGTTGAGGTTGATGAGTGACTGATTACCAAGGCTCCGAACAAGTGAGGGAAAGTGACACGCCCAGAAAACTATTGACGCTTAAAATCATGCTTAACCAACAAGAGGCTTGGCCATGATTAGTCGTCAGGTATTATCTCCTGATTCGGCCTGCATTTCCATACCAGTCACACCTTCCCCTCAGCGCAATGCTCTGCCAGTGCCACCACCCACAACCATCCACAACTGCCACTGCCAAGCTTCCAAATGCCACTTCTCTTTTTCAAACTGCCTTGGCTCGACGGAAAACCGGCCTTCTTTGCGGTGCCCAGCCGGGACCGGAACATTGACCACTTCAGCTGACCTCAAGCATCTTGTTTTTTTGTTTTTTTTTTATCACGAACAGCAGCAAAAGTCCGCCCCTGGCCTCGATCGACATGACTGACACGATGGGGAGCAGTTGCACAGACTCAACCTAGATCTTGACGCATACCTTGCCGTCACCAACAGCACCAACAACGAATGATACTCCGGACAAACAAGTAAAAGCCCTGATGTGATGGCCGACTTTGTTGGCTCGCCAAGCTGCGAGGATCTTTCCGAGGGCGTCGCCTTACTGGGCCAAATATTACGACTGCCACACTGTTGCTCACTCACCTTTCCGAGAGGCGAGAGGCACAGCTTCAAGCTTAAGCATGCCCTCACATTTCCAACAGCCGCATCTGTTGTTGCTGTTGTTGCACAAACTTACACAAGGTCCCTGCGCCTTGACTGTTCTTTTTTTTTTGATACCAGGCTCCGGCGCACAACAGCCGTGGTGGTTGACATAGTCAGATGAAAATGATAGTAGGACCTGACTATTGATGATAACTGTCTGATCTCACTTCAGGCAGTGAAACTAAAACGTCGTCGTCGTCGTCGTCGTCGTCGTCGTCGCTGTTGACGAATAATTGGGTTCGCTTCCGGCAACCATATTCCGCCGTTGCCTACCCCAGGATAGCATGGATCGCGGCGGGCGGGAGCTGTGACGAATTCCGATCTTGGGTTCGCATCTTCGGAACGCGAATACGATTTACTTGGTACGCTAGTGGATAAAGGATCTGACTAATGGGGCGCCCAACTGCAGACACCCTGCCCACAGGGCAAACAACGATGGCCAACGACATTTCTTCTTCATCAGAGGCACACACGCTTCACCACGCCTCGTCGAGGCTCTCATTGTGCAGTTACATTCGCAGTTGTTGCTTCCACAGAGACAAGCAGAGGAATTGCTAGCTGCAGTGTGCCACACACCCCACAGGGTACTGGTACCTCGCGGCAAGCCACACTCCAAGTTTAAAGTGTTGCCCAGAAACGGCCAAGGCCATCACGGCACATCCCAAGACAAATTGCGACAGGGATTCCTCCTCATGTGGGGGTGCTGGTGTTTTGTAATCAAGTCCACAGCTTTTCCAGAAGGTGTTCACACCCGCTCGAAAAGGTTTACCCGTACGGATGTCCTAAGCGAAGCGAAGCTTACTCGGTCGTCCGTGTGGGCGGACATGTCAACGACGACGGGACTGACGGCACACCCGGCGCCTCGCGGGTTTCAAGGAGAGGGGTGTCTCGTCGCGAGCCGGTGGAGCGAGCAGCAGTTCCCTCTTCGGATTCGGAGTCACGGGGTCTTGTCAGCGACCTTTTGATCCGAGAAAGATGCCAAGTTGGCCCAGAGTCGCAACATTGGGCGGCATGATGGATGGAGCATGGAAGCCAAGGCTGATGGCTTGAAGGGTGATCCAGGCAAATGCCAATCACGCTAGCATGGGGAGAGTGAAATAAGCTTGAAATCCTATCCCAAGCCAGTATTTCCATGGCAAATCCGTACAGGGGTCCATCTGCCTTTTCTCGTTTTTGTTATTCACACTTTTTTTCCCTCCTGGATTGGACCCCTTCTTTTTACATAACGTCTGACATGACAGTGAGATTTCCTAATCAGGCGATTATTCCACACACCCAATGGGAGGGGGGAGAAGATGTCCAAAATATGTCAAGTTTTCGGCTTCGGAGGTAACCAAGGCGCTTAGTTCCGATGACAGAGGAGAAAAGGTGGGAGCACAAAGGGGTCAGCAAGTGCAGTGCAGTTGTTCTTTCAAAGTGAACAGGTTGCAGCTTTCCACGTGCGCCTTTTTGGACGTTGAGATAATGTTTTGGGCTAGACTTGGATAGGGAACTGGAAGCGGGCACTAGTCAAAGTTCGAGCAGGACCCAAGTGTTGGCGTGCGTGGCCCAAGAGTCTTGGAACTTTGGGGGGGAGCCATTGATATCAATCACCAAGACCAAGTGGACTTCTCGGACCCAACGGTTGCGAATATTGATAACCATATTGCACCCCCCTCTTCTCCTTAGCGTGGCGATCCAGATGTTGGTAAATTGACAGTAAAGAACACAAAAGCTCGGCAGGACGTTGTGCGACAATGGACCTTCGCAATAACTTCAGTTGCTGCTGCTGCTCCTTTCTTGTGACACACAACAAAAGTCCAATTACCTACAAGGTCCAACAACATGTGGATTGGGGGGGGGGAGGGGTGTGCGTGTTACACCGATGAGTCCCGGTCAGGCCCGAGGTCCAAGCGATTCATAACAGCAACAGTTGGTGGAGTAATAATGATGATGGGTGAGATGATAAGAGTTTTGTTCGGAGATTCATCATCAACCCAACTGCAAGAGGCAACTGCTCGTAACCAGCTGCTCGTAACCAGCTGCTCGTAACCATAAACAGATCATCTCAGGACCAACGACATCCAACATGTGTGACACAAGGACCTACCCACCACCTTGCTTGGGTAGAATTCTGAGTATCTCTCCGCCTGGTGGACTGAAAAGGAGGCAGAAATGAAGCGAGATCTAGGCCCCCTCTCCCCTCTCGTAGGACTCATTGATCTGTAAGAGCTTACGACACACTTTCTGGACAGGTGGAGCGCTGAACCAAAAAGTGAAGTAATTTTGGCCAGGGATGAAGGGACAGAGCTTCGCACCTTTTTGCTGTGGAGTTAGTCCTGGCTGTCCTTTGTCTGGCCTGCTCCGCTTTTCTTGGCTCTCTTGGCCTCGCTGCTTGGCCCTCTTGGCTTTTGCTTGGCATTCTCCGCTCGGGGAAGGGGGGCGTGGGACGAGTGATAATGAGAAGATGAATTGCATTTCACCTGTCATCAGTGTCTGTGCCTGTGCCAGATCAACTCGGATTGTTTTAAAACTGACTTGATCTTTCCGAAGGTAGGGAAGGATGGAGAGATGGAGGGAGGGAGGAATACTCGTATCTGGCTGTTTCAAAATGGGGCTGTTCACGGCCTCGCTTTCTCCAATTTCCATCTGATGATCACCCAGAGGCAGGCAGGCACCAACAGCCAGGACCAAGACGCCCCCCGTCTAGCCGTTTTGCCAGACCTGAGGCATCGCTCGGCTTGGCATGGTGCTTGGTGGGCTTGGAGTGGGTTCTCTCTAGCGGGACACCCCTCTGAAAGCTCCCACATTCCGAGACACCCATGTGCCAGTGGGCGCATCGTCATCGACCTGCAGCGGATCCGCACCACCAGCCGCCAACCGCGGTGCCCTCACGCACCTTATTTCCACTGCCTTATTTTTTTTGGTCATTTTCTCGATATAAGTCGAAACGTCCCGATACAACCCGCGCGCATCGCCCTGCACCTAAAGACACTTTTCTCGGTTTTTGCATTTCTCTGGGTCTCACCGTCCACCGTTCACCACACCACGACTAACTGTCATCGCCGTTACCTTTGCTAGCTCGCTGAACAAGCGGTTACTCACGCTCCCACATAACACACAACACAACATAACAAAACAAAAACAAGACACATTCTGATAGGTACGTTTCCAGCTTGTTTTCTTCCTCGTCAACTGTCCTATTTCGTCTCTTGAAACACAGATAACAACGCGTTGCGAGTGCAAGTGCAAGTGCGAGTGCAACTGTATCCCCTGATAATTCTCCATACCGGATCTCAAAAAGGGCAGGCTTCTGTATCCCCATGACTCCCCACGGCCTTCGTCCCCATCAAGTGTATGCGGACGGGGACATGGTGAAGCGTGGGACTGTGTGTGCTCCGCCCATGGCCGTGCTGCTGTAACCCTTCGCGTCTCGTGAGCCTGACGTGGTCGACGACACAAAGACACAAGGCGAGGAACCACACCCCAGGGTTTGACGTGGGAAGCTGTTTATGCGCCCAAAAGGCTGCTTGTTGCCTGCCGTGTGCCGTCGTGTGCCAGGTATCGCCAGCCAAGGGCAATGCTTCGATCAAGCTTCTGTCACTCTAGCACGCCCACCTCTCTCCTCTCCTCCACATCTCTTAAAAAAGGAAAAAAAAAGGCTATAAATCCACACTGAGGCTTAAAACGCCCGTCGTCTCTCTGCCAAGCCCTCACCCCTTACACGTCTCACGTTTACCTAATTCGCTCCCACAGGTCATGGACCCGCTATCGGCTCGGCTTGCCTCTTCATGAATCCACCATAGGAAGGGATAAACATTGACACTGGTTACATCACATCACATAGGGTTTTGCTGTGGCGCCTTTAAGCTTCTTGTCGACAAAACTTGCTCGAGGCTCCAGTCCTGAATGGTGGTGCAATAAGTTTTGCAGTTGAGGAGGAAAGGAGGATATCTTGGTTGACTATACAGTCTCTCTTTCTTTGGCCCAACGGTCCTGGGTTGCATCAACCTACATCTTCCAAAGCACTATCGCCCACCATGACGACAATGGAGACATATCACGGCATGGTCAAGACACCTGCCGACGCCATCAAACTTTTCGAGGCTTGCCGACTGGGACTTTTGCCTAGAGTTCAAAGAAGATTGTCCGAAAAGGAACGCCAACAGATTCGATCCGGGTCGGTTTATGTCTGGGATGAGAGGGAAGCTGGCATGCGGAGGTGGACTGATGGAAAGTCATGGAGCGCCAGCCGTGTGTCTGGGAGTTTTTTGACATACCGCGAGATGGAAGGCAAGCGAGGGAATGGTTT